GGAAAATCCTTTCCCCCCTGCACTAGAGCCGGAGCTGTCAGCGATGTGCTCGGCCCAGCATGGGTCAATGCCACCCACTCCTCCTCTGCCTTATGGGAGGGTGGAAAGCCGGGAAACGCCGTGGCAGGGGGTTGCACCATGCTGGTGTGCACCACGCCGCCTCATCTCCCCGTGCTCTGGCGAGGAGCAGCGGGCAGCTCTCATGCTGGAGAGAAGCTTTGTGCCTGGAGATCACCAGGCTTCCCCTCCACGCCCGGATGTTTTGGGGTTACGGATTTAGCCTCTGCAGTAAATGGGTGTATTAGTTTACAGCAAGAGTTTACAAAGCCTGGGAGATGGGTCATTACAAATACACAATCTCAGGCCGACCCCACAAGTGTAACGGCTGCGCTGCAGAAAGTTTTTGCCGGGCTGCCCAGTCAAGGCAGAGCACAGCCTCTGCTCATGCTGACCCGGCACCGAGCAGCAGCGGAGAGAAAATGTGGATGCCAGGGCTGCACCTGGGGGCTGGGGGCACTGGGGCAGCCAAAGGGAGGTCAGAGCTCCCCTGGGAGCCGAGCTTCCCATCCTTTCCTGGCCAGACCATCAGGCATCGCTGCCCTGGAGCAATATGTGTAGGTGTGCGCATGTGTGTGCGGAGGGGTAACACCTTGGTTCCCCTCTGTGGTCTGAGTAGCACCAGGCATGTGCCAAGGCCTGGTGGGAGCCACGGTGCTGGTCCCTGTCCCCCACCAAGGGCTCAGTCTGCGGGCAGAGGACCTCCAGAGCCCCATGGCAGCCCTGCTGCTCCTGGGACAAGCTCTCCCGGCAGCAAGCCGCAGGGCAGGCCTGATGCAGAGAGCCCGGAGGGGAGCGGTGTGGCTGGTACCTGTCTGGCAGGCTTGCCCCATCCAGCCGGGTGGGCAGGCACATCTGTTGGGGAAGATGCAGCTCCCACCGTTCTGGCACGGCACCCAGCAGAGAGCTGTGGGACCAAACACAAGCACAGCGTCACTGGGCAGCTCTGAGGGTCCCAAGCTCCCTCCCCTGCCCCCATGGATGCACACACACCACACCCCCCATCTAAAACACACCCAGCACCAGCCTGGGGCCAGGATGCTCTGTCCCAGCCCCAGAGCAGTGGGGTTGAGCTGACCGGGGTGCACAGGGCACAGGAGGGGTGGGATGACCAGGACACTGGTTTCACACCCCC